ACTGGGGATCAAACTCAGGACCTTGCACTTGCGAGGCAGGCAGCAGAACCACTGAGCTAAATCCCTGGCCCTATAAGAAGAGGATTTGAATTGGTCATGGTGGCACGCCTGTAACCCAGCACTCAGGAATTTAAAGCAGGAGGATTGCTATGAGATCAAGGTCATTCTGGGCTACATAGGGAGTTCAAGGACAGCCTGAACTACACAGCAACACCCTGTTTCATACCAAAACAAAGGCAACAGCTGAGTTTTCCTGGATTCCACATGAATATTTATTAAAATGACAGTACATTATGGTGGTTTAAAGTTAGGAAACCTTAAAATAAAGATTAATAACCAGAAATCAAGATTAGGGGAGTTCTCAAATGCAGATGGAATTAATCAGTTATAATTTTCCCCACAACTCCACTTCACTGATAATAAACAGAAATTTCTCCATAAAATTATTGTGAAATGAAAGCATAGGGTCCATGATTCCTTTTAGATTCTTTTGCCCTTTCACAAAGTAAGGAATTTAAGGCTGATAGTTAAAATGTTTAAATACTTGTTGATTGATTCAAGATTCATCTACAAAAGTCCCTGAGGAAAGAATGTGTTATTCAAGGCACATTAGTTTTCAATGTACACATCCTGATTTTCAGAGGCCCTTGCTGCAGTCTCCCAAGTTTCCTTCCTTTAAATCAGTGAAAGAGGAAACCCAGGCTCTTTAGCTTAGCTTCAGCACTATCCGTAAACTCCCTGGTAGCTTTCTGCAGTGGAAGGCGGGGTGGGCCCATTGGAATCCCAGACACCAGAGTCATGATGGCTTTGGTCTGTGACACTCCAAAACCTAAAGAGAAAACAAATGAGGACATGTATCTGGTACTGTTCATTTTACCACAAAAAACCCAGAGAAGAGCTCACATACTGACAGTGACAACCATCCTAGGGTGAGGTAAAAATAAAAGATAGGAATGTTTATAGTTAAAATGATAGATTAAGAAGACATAGGAAATCCCTCTTCCTCCTTAAAACAGATATGTGGAAGATGTTAACACTGACAACTATAAAATAAAAGAGAGGTTCAAAGTCAACCTTCAAACAGAAGAGAAGGCTAGGGATGTAGCTCAGTGGTGCTGTGCCTGCCTGGCAAGCTCAAAGTCCTGAATTTGATAGAAAAAACAAAACAAAACAAAACCAAAACCAAAAAAATGAACCAAAGAAAAGTGTCATGAATAAAGAACTTGGGAGAGATGAGGAGCAAAAGCCAAACAGCCCCAAGGATAACATGATTTAGGTACATACTATTTCTTTTTTTGGGTGGCGTACTGGTGATCAAACTCCAGAGCTTGTGTTTTGAAGGCAGGCAGCAGAATCACTGAGCTAAATCCCCAGCCCCCCAATTTTTTTTTTTTTTTTGGTTCTGGGGATCAAACTCAGGACCTTATGCTTGCAAGGCAGGCAACAGCACCACTGAACTAAATCTCCGGCCCTATATACTATTTCTTGCTAGGACAAAATTTACTTTAAGCTTATTTAAGTGGTCCCTGAGAAATGCACTGTGTAGGTGACTTATGACTCACTGCTGCAATTTAGCACCAAAGTTCTAAAGCTGGCACAGGAATGGAAGATAAAGCCTTGAGCTTGTGCATGGAATTAAACTCCCTGTACTTTATAACATGAAAAGTAGGGCCAGGGATTGCACAAGGTCCTGACTTCCACCCCCATTACCAAAAAAAAAAAAAAAAAAAAGAAGAGGAAGTGTATGAAAAGCAATAGAAAACAGCAACTACAATGCCACTCACTGGCCTGGGGATAGCATGTCAAGGAAGTTTGATTCTGCCAGGGCTGTGGAAGGAAAAGTTCATGGAAGAAATCCCAGGGCCAGGCATGATGGCACATGACTATAATCCTAGCACTTGGCAGGAGGATTGCTGTGAGTTCAAGGCCAACCTGGGCTATTCAGAAAGAAATCCTAGGCCTATGCCACAGGTGAATATTGGATCCAAATTTGCATTGTGAACTTGGTACAGGTATCAGACTAAGAAATTCACTCGATGACTGGTTAGAACTGGTGAAACGTTCTAGAAGTGGCAAACTGAAACTATTTGATGAGGCAATTTACAACTTAAGAGTACTTTACAATGGATTATCTAGAGAACAGTCTCTGGAGGTGAGCTCAGAGCTAGAAATTACAAAGTACATGAGGAAAAGGAGCACAAGAGCCTCCAAATGCACAAATGACAAAATTCAGATCCAAAAAAAGATAATAGAATGTTTTTTTTTTTTTTGAGACAGGGTCTCACTATGTAGTTGAGACTGACCTGGAACTCACTATGTAGCCCAGGCTGGTCTTGAACTCACAGCGATCCTCCTGCCTCAGCCTCCGTGTGCTGGGATTACAGGCGTGTGCCACCACACCTGGCTCAAGATGATAGAATATTCTGAAAGAGATTTCACACAGATGAAAGGAGGAACAGAAGCCATAGGCTAAAAGAAGAGCACATGGGTAAATAACATGTAGATTTGGTTAAGAAGCCAAAAAAGAAATATTGGAAATGAAAAAAATACTGTATATCGAGGGAAATTAAACAATGGAAAATACAGCTAAAGAATTAGTGATTTAGAAATCTATTTTTGCCTTCCAATCTTCACTTATGACCTTGTCAGGTATATACACCTGGTTTACTTTAATATTTTTATGTAGATGGTCTGTCATGCACTATGGTTTTGGATGTGAAATAATGTTTTTTTTTTTTTTTTTTTTTTTTGGTACCGGAGATCGAACTCAGGACCTTGCGCATGCAAGGCAGGCAGCTTTGGAACCACTGAGCTAAATTCCTGGCCCTGGATGTGAAATAATGTATACAATGGTTTATTCCCAAGTATGCCTTAAACACGACAAATGTGTTTTTTAAAATATAGTTCCTTGCCTTAATAAATATGCAATATAATTTTTTTTTTTTTTGGTACGGGGGATTGATCTCAGGTCCTTAAGCTTGCGAAGCAGGCGGCAGAACCACTGAGCTAAATCCTTGAATTTGTAATATACATTTAAGCAAACTTCTA